GCAGACTGCATTTACAGTTTATATAAAATAAATACATCTGGCAAGGCAATATATCTTTTCCTCAAATATGTTTACTTGTATAACAATTGTTGTTAGCTTACTTATAAAATACAGCCTGTCAACTCCAGTTTTGCAATTTGGCCTTTGCAAGTGGGCTCCTATTCCCAGACACATAAAACAGCACAATGAATAGGATATTTTAAAATAGGATACTCAAAATTCAGAGAAAAAATATCCTAAAATAAGCCATAGCCATTTAACAGCTAAGCTCTTTGCATGCAATTTCTTTGTACCTGTACAAAGATTGTATTGAATTTATGACAGATATGGAACAGTTGCACAAGTTCAGATCTGGTTTTAGATTCTGAAGTTAACTTGGAAAAAATGGAATTTCACCATGTTGGAAAAACATTTATGAAAATAAAAAAATATATATCTTACAGTGTCTTCCTGTTCCAAGACCCGACTAATTTTCTAACGTTTCTTAGATAATAGTAATAATAGCGACAATTTTGGGTTTTTCCAAACAGCCTGAAAATGTTCTCAGGGAAGAAAAGGCTTCCCCAAACTTTTACTACTAGGGTGCAACAATGCCAATTGTAAATAGAAAAAAGAAATTTTAGTTTTTTGTTTTTTAAGTCAGCTGTCAGAAGTTTTAGAACAATAGTTCTACATGACACCTAAAAATTCTGGAGCAGTGAAAAGATACACTAAAAGACCTACACCTCGCATTGAAAGATTTCTCTTGGCATATCAACTGTAGGAAAAAGCAAAAGAATGATCCCTCCCTGATTCTGGCAATAGCTATACAAGCCAACCATAGCTGACATTCACACAGCTTCAGACAGGTCGTTCAGTGCCACAGCCTTTTTCCCTAGACAGGGGCTGATAACGCAGCACCTCAAGCATCCATTAGAGCCTAGACTATTGGTGCACAGCCCTGGGAACTCTCAGGGAACACATAAGGACTTCACATGTCCTTAAAACCAACTCTACACTCAAGAAGATGGTCCTTTTTTGAACCTCTTGGAGGGAAGCATGAACTCACTAGAATGCTATAATAAAACGCTGAGTTTCCTTGATATGAATTGCCATGGCTACCATGCGATAATGGATCTCAGCATCTTTATGAGGCATGTATATCACAGTATCACAGTATCACAGTATGCTGGAGATTGGAAGGGACCTCAAAAGATCATCTAGTCCAATCCCCCTGCCAGAGCAGGAACACCTAGATAACGTTACACAGGAATGTGTCCAGGCGGGCTTTGAATGTCTCCAGGGAAGGAGACTCCACAACCTCCCTGGGCAACCTGTTCCAGTGTTCCATCACCCTCACTGAGAAGAAGTTCCTTCTCAAGTTTAAGTGGAACCTCTTGTGTTCCAGTTTGCACCCATTACCCCTTGTCCTATCATTGTTTGCCACTGAGTAGAGCCTGGCTCCATCCTCGTGACACTCCCCCTTTATATATTTATAGACACTTATAAGGTCACCCCTCAGTCTCCTCTTCTCTAAACTATAAAGACCCAGCTCCCTCAGTCTTTCCTCATAAGGGAGATGCTCCACTCCCTTAATCATTTTCGTTGCCCTGCGCTGGACTCTCTCCAGCAGCTCCCTGTCCTTCTTGAACTGAGGGGCCCAGAACTGGACACAATATTCCAGATGGAATATAAACCCAGGTTTTGCCAATAAGCAGCCTGATGCAGACACACCTGGAATACCTGGGGGTTATTTGGATATTTAGATATGCCACAGCAATAAACCAGAAAAAAAATTAAAAAAATCCCTCTGCCTTTCTAAAAAATCAATACATATTAAGATACCTGATCTTGGAAATTAAAGTGTGGTAATTTGGCCAACAGTTTAAGTGATTTATCAGGAGTTACACAGCAACTTTGTGGTAGACCTAGAAAATAAACCCATTATTTCTTAGGTGTAGCCTAACTTCTAGATCATACTTTCTACCCTGTAAAGAGAGGAAATACCTACAAATATTAACTCTCACAAATACATCAAGGCCAAGTGTAAAAGTTTCCTAAATTATGCCCACCACAGCAGTCACTTCTACCATGTATTTCCATTAGGTCACTAGTATTTGTGGTCGGTAAGAAACATTAAAGGATTGGAAATGTTCCATTTTTACCGCCCCCAGTGAAAAGCTGACAGAAGTCAATCCTTCCATTTTCTCCTGGTCTTTCTAACAAAAACCTGAATGATTCACAGATGGGGACCTACAGCAATTAATACCACAATCAGTTGCCACCCTCACTGTGTAATGGCAGTACTAACCCAGGTAGGCTACTACCTGTGCCATTACACCAACTTTAAATTGTTCCTACATTACACCTGTAATCCAAAGTAGTAATATTCATTACCTATTTGATGAAATAAGCTTTCACAGAAGGCATTCCAATTTACACTGATTTTATTATAATACGGCACTTAGAAATAATCAGCATGAACAAACAATATGAAGCTGGATCCCAAATACCTTTTTTGTTCAGAAATCCATTCTTTTCCTCTTAGCTACTTAGATGTTTCTTACGAATAATGTAGCTATTTTCCTTGAATACCACTTCTGGACACTTGTCAATATTCCTGAAGGAAAAATTCCCTACAAGCCAGAAGCCCAAGAGGCCAAGATTCTTCTGCTCAAAATGTGAATGCCTGCTAAAATGCTGTCGCTTAAATTAGGCCAACCAAGTTAAATAGTAAAACTATGCAACATAACACCACAGCAGTAGAAAAACACTTGTCATCATCTCAGTGATAGAAACAATGCACCAGCACAGAATGCTTCAATCCCACGTCACTGAATCTGCTCTGAAGTTCCAAGCAGCAACACTACATTACCCAAGTAAATAAATACTACTGGCTACTATTTTTAATACTGAACAGTGGTAGAAAAAAAATAAAAATCTAAAGACCTTTAGACACATCCCATTCCTTCTCACTTCCTAACAATGAGGGGGGGAAAAAAAAGTACCATCTTTCAGGTCAGGTCACATTCTATGATCAATAAAGAGATTGAGGGAGGGTTTAATAAAAATTGCAGCACAAGAACACTTGAAGAAAATACTCTCTGTGGCAGTTAGTACTCCCTCTTCAGTAAAATATTGCAATACTTTCCAGAAGGAGAGTTGAAACATACAGCTTAGAAGACTATTACTGCACACAACAGTTACTACTCACTTAGCCGTCCTTACTTAAGCAAGGCTACTGTGGCACCATGCTCAAACTGACCCCAGAAAAGAAAACAGGGAAAGCTCTCTTGGCCTTGTTATGCTCTACCTATCCTTAGCTACACTGCTAAAGTACGGCATGCTGCAACTGCTTGCTGTGCAGCAATGGAAACAGCTGTGGAGAAGCAGCCAAAATGAAAAATTTACTAACCCTGACACTTTATAGAGGTAGCTATGAGATATTCAATCCCCACCAAAGACATACAATGCAGTAACATACTAATAAGAAATTTTGCTATTTCAAAACCTAACCCAGTTCCTCAAGCTACAGATCTTCCCATCAGTCTTTGCTTCTCTCCCTTCAATAAATATGAAGTTTTGTATACTCCAGCTACAGACAGAAAAAAAACTTCTTTATCCCCTGAAACCTTTAAAGTTTCTGAGCCAGAGGAAAGAGGAGAAAGCCTGTGCTCCAAGTATATTAGAAGTGTTATCCTCTTGTGACTGAACCAAATCTCTGCATCTGCTGCAGCTATTAGCCTTCTCCAAACAGCAGCTGAAGCAATATGGAACAGACTTGGTCCCTAGATAATTTCCCAACTACTCATATGGTTCTGTATAGCAGCCATGAAATAAGAGTAATTCTTGGTAATTTAATTCTGCTGTTGCTTGAAAAAGCTATGACCCAAAGCAGAAATGTTGGACGTATCTCCAGATTCAAGATGACATTGCAAAGTCAAAAGACAAAGCTTCCTGAGATTTATTTCCAATTTTTCTTTCAAAGGACATCAATCCTTGCAAAAGAGGCGGAGATTACTCCCCCTTGCCTTTTAAAGGAAGGCATACGTTTTGCAGAAATTATTAAATCTTCTCTACTTGCAGTTCCAAATCTTAGGTTTAAGACCTCTGATCAAGCTGCAGCTCAAATGCAATATTCACTGGTAACACAGAAGATGAAATTTCCATATGCATAGTCCTAACAGTATAGAAGACATGCCAAAGTTGAAATCACATTACAGCAATGATTAATGACAACAGATTATTCTGTAAAAGGCAGCAAGTGAGAAACTGTCCAATGAATTCTTCATGAAAAAACACAGTCCCTCTCTAGCACATAGCCTATTATACTCCCATTGATTTGTGGGAGGACAAACATAACCTAAAGAAAATGCCAGTTTTTTTGTTTTGTTCTAATGTTTCTGAGAGCAGGACTGAGAGCTAGGGAAAGAGGCAGAAGATCTGGAGGCTCTCATTTCAGTAACTCAAAACCCTACACAGGAATCTGCATTGGAAATCAAGCCAGATATGAAGAGCACACATTCCACTCTGAAACAGAAGACAGTGACAGACACTCCCCAGGAAACTAACGCATTAAGCTTTATGATTTCAGGATTTTTTTTTTTTTTTTTTTTTTTTTAAAGTTCTCTGTCAGTAACCAGTCTCTGTCCCAGATAGAACATGAATACATGAAGGTGGACTGACATCACTGTACAGAAACCTCCTCAGATGCAAGCTGCCAGTTCCGTACTTTAAAAAGCTTTAGTAATCCCCTCATACAGCTTTCCTTAATTAAATGTATCTAGGAATGATTTCTTCAAGAAGAAAGGAGTGTCTGTGCAAATTCATGTGGAAATAGTAGACATAATACATGCAGCCATATGCCAGTTTAAAAGGACAATGAGCTTATTTTTATTACTATTCCTGCTATGCCTTTACAGCTAAATAGAATATAGCTTTATTTCTAGAAAACAAGAAAGGTTTACATATTGTTCTTTTAAAGGTCTGCAGATCTGCACTAAAGCTTCCATATACTGTACCTTTTCTGTTGGTTCTAATAATTGTCTCAGACAGTGGTAAAGAGCTTCCATTGGAAATTTCACTTATAGGCTTCTCTGGTGGTTTGTTGGCAGTATTTTCTTTCTTCATGTCCTTCTTTATTTCCTGCAGGAAAAAAAAGCAGGTGGAGAGGGAGAAGAAAAAGAAGAAACAGTTTAAAAAAGGTATTACAGAATATTCTAAATCTCAAGCTCCCAAGATTTCTTAAAACTGCTGCCTCTTCTAATGCTACCTCCAAGGCTCTTTATAAGTTAAAATGCCACAAAATGGCCAGGCTGGACAGCCTTGGGTGGCATGGTTTAGTGTGAGGTGTCCCTGCCCATGGCAGAGGGCTTGGAACTAGATGATCTTAAGGTCCTTTCCAACCCTAACTATTCTATAATTCTAAAATGAAAGAAATTTTAAGTAACTCTTCCAATGGATACTATTTTTTTTCTTTCAAAAAGAGGTTAATTTCTTATTTATGCTTGAAAATTATAGGACAGCTCTGCAAATCTTTTACTAAAGATCACTAAAGCTCGGGGGGAGAGAGGCTTCTCAGTTTAACCATCATTCAGCTGCACATTTGACACACAGGGCAGAACCGAGTACAGTATTCTTGATGTAAAGGCAGCTAAGTTTGCTTCCCCTTTGTCTAGAAGCCCACAGAAACAACCACCACAGCAGGAAGAAAAATATTAACCAGGAAAATATGACAAATGTTACCATAATTGGCAGAAGCATATAGAGAGCCTGCTGTCAGAACCATTGCTAACACTAACACATTTTGCAGCTGACTGCCTTTTAAGGTGATCAATTTCTTTGGCATCTTGAAACACCACTGATGTAAACAAGTAGGCATTACCTCCATTTTACAGACAGGTAACTGACATACTGAAGAGGCTAAAGCATTTGCATATAACCATATATCAAAATATAAGGGAAAAATAAGTTCAGTTTTGGCTCCAAGCTTTGTCATAGGTCAGGCTGCAGAGCCACTTGAGCTGGGAGGGAGCTCAGCAGTTCTCCAATCTCCAGCTCAAAGCAGGGCCACCTCTGGGGTCAGAGAAGGTTGCTCAAAGCTGTTTGTACAGTTGGATCCTGAAAACCTCGAAGGCAGAGACCATATAAGCTTATGAACAATCTGCTCCATTGCTTGACTGTCCTAGAGACAAAAAATTTCCTTATAACCAGCCTGAAACGTTCTTTTCAAGTCCTATCTACTCTCTCCTGTCTTCCCCACCAAGCACCACTGTGAAGGGCCTGGCTCTGTCTTCTTGATAACCTCCTTGTATGTATTGGAAGGCTCCCCTCCCCACATAATTTCTTCTCCAGGCTGAACAAACCCACCTCCCTGAGTATCTCCTCATAGAGCATGTGTTTCAGGTCCCTCAGCCACAGAACCTGCTCCAATTTATCAATGTATTTCTTTTACACACAATCCATATCCTGTCCACAAAATGGGATGCTGTACTCTGGATGTGGCCTAATTGGTGCTAGGTAGTGTTATCACTTCCCTTAATCTGCAGGCTATTTAATGCAGCCCAGGATTGCTGTTGATCGTGTTTGATGCCAGAGTACAAAACTAGTTTATGTTTACCTTGCTGCCCACCAGGACCCACAAGTTCTCTTCAGCAGAGCTGCTCCCAAACCCATTAAGCCCCAGTCGGTGTGTCTGCCAGCAATTCCTCATTCCGACAGAACTGGTATTTGCCCTTGCTGGTTTTCATAAGGTTCATGCCTGGATCCCTCTGAACAGCTGCCCTGCCTTCAAGTGTGTCAACTGCTTCCCTGATTTGGCGTCATCTGCAGATTTGATGAGATTGTCTAAATTGAGCAGGCATCAGGGACAGGCGATAGCTTTGGACAGACTCTTGCCCTTGTAAAAACCTCTACCTCTCCTCCGCGCTTTTAACACATTCACTGCCCTCTTCTACATCCCAGTGCAGTAGCAACCTCCGCCATCCCACAGCACCGTACCATACACAGGTAGTACTGTACATCTTAGTTATGTTTCCAGCATATCAGACATGAGCACTAAACCACAGAAAGCGAATTTCTATTTGAAGTTTCTGAGGTTACCTGAGAACAGCACCAAACAAAACTGGAATTTCCAAGTCACTCTCTTAAAAGATGCACTTTAAACCTGAATGCCATAAATTTCCCTAGTCCAATTGATCTGTCAAAGCTGCACTATTAGCCACACTACATTAATAGTGTCTTTTGTATCTGCACAAGTCATTTACTGTGTATCAGCATTCCATTAGCGGAGATAAAAGTTTTATGAACTGCTGGCCACCAAGGTTACAATTAATTTTCTATCTAGTGCCATCACACAGGTAAAAGAGTATCTAAAATCCAACTCATCACAGTACCCATCATAACTGAAATAACAAATGTGAACGAATAAGTGTATAAAAGGTGAATGTATGTATGTAATAGATGCTGCTGTTAGAAGAAATACTGCAAACAGTTCTTGTATAAAAGTGAACCATGTGATAATATAAGAACACTGCACACATTTAGAAGAAAATGCTATATTACTTTCTAAAAAGTGGACTAATACATACTAATGAGTACATTATTCCATGAGCTTTTTTTCAGTCTTAAAAATTAAAATACACAATGAGTCCTCTCAAAGCTTGTTGTATTGAAGCTTTAAATTTATTTTGTGGCAAGGTGACAAACTCATGGTATATTAAAAAAATCTAAAATTGAAAAAGAATTTGTGAGTCAAATAGCACTCTTGTGAACAGGACCACAAGACCACAGCCAAAGAAGACCCCACCTTGTCAGAACTTGCTTCCTGTGTGTCATTACCGTGTTATTTTCCATTCTTTATGTCAGAATGCAATGAAATCCTCAACACATCAATTCTGAAACAACAGTACAATAATTTTTATTTTTAAAGCCCTATTTCCAACTTCAAAGGTGGCAGAAAAAATTGTCTGCTATAACTGAAAGCAGCACTGTACCCTCAAGTCTCCAAAGGAATGATAACTGGCGTCTTTGCTGCTCTTGACAGCTTTTTGAGGAAGCCTTGTTTGGCTCCTGAAAACAAGCACAAATGACTTTGGCCACAAAGGAATACCAAATCAGCTCACTTTATTTCACCACAAAAAATACACTGAATTTCACAACCTTGCATATTTGGTAAATAATACAATTATAATTGCCTTAAAAGCCCGGTGCTCCACCAATTATAATTATAGAAATCTTTGAACATAACCCACTCATTCTAGATTTGCATGGAGCAGAAGCCTACCACGTGAGGAAAGAGTAGGCAAACAACCTTCCAAACCCACGTATACTAAAGATTGCTTTGGGGAACTTTCGCCAGCATACGATAAAATTCATTATGGTTCTGGTTTCAAGTTGAAGTATGCAGGTATTACTTCTAAACAAGAAATTTAAAATTTCTAAACAAGAAAGAAGGCAAACTTTCACTCAGGACAGGAAATCCCCAATCTGCCATGAGTAGTTCAAGAACAGCTGAATTTAAGTGTTAAAGGAGTATGAACAGAAACTAACAATCCAGTTGTGGGCTCAGGGAGTGCTGTTTCTTGAAGAAGGAGCTTGTGTATGCAAAGAGAGGAAAAACAGTAAAGGTAAGAGACTTTATTACATTATACTGCTCTAAATTACGGGGGGGGGAATCAACCTGCAATTAGCTGCCTGCCTAGCAAGGACTTCAGTATGTCTCCTGATTAGGATTCTTGTAGGATTCTTGCACTGGTTTCTGGTCATATTTTGACTACAGCAAACACATTCACACCCTGATTAGCTACAACCACCACTCACTGTAGACCAGTCTATCCCTGAGTAGGACAAGGGGGACTGGACAGGTACTACGGGACATCTACAGCACGCTGAGTCTCCACACAATGACAGTGTGAGCACTTTCACTAGGAATCTCTGTGGTAATGCTAAATTGGTCCAGACCCGATGACCTTGAGAGCCCTTTCCAGAACCTAGTTCACAAGACAGTGTCCATAGAGATCCCCACACATAGCCTTAGGAGAAGGGGCAAAAAGGGATCTACTGAGTGCAGTGCTTAGCTCTTCATCCCACCACTCCTCCAGTACTCAGATGCTTCTGCAGAATGAGCAGCTGTCTCACTCACATAGCCTACCTGGAAAGAGGCAGGCTTTCACAGTGCTAACAGCTTCAGAAATATCTCTAAACCTCACCTTTGGTACTATATGATACTTGATTTTGGGGCAGTGCCTGGTATAAATTTCATGGGTCAAAATGATGCATTTTTTCCTAGCCCACACAAAGACAATTGCAGGTTATTAGCAGATTGTTTTCAAGGGGCTATACCTCAGGAACCCAGCCCTTAAATAAATAACCTCACGTTTCAACCACTAAATCTAAACCAGGCCCTTTTGACACCACAAACATTAAGACAGCTTCCACCTCATGGGTATGTGTGTTTCAGAGTGATTCCAGTAGTATAAGCAGTACTTATTGGGAAGAGGCATCCTCCATCTGAGAAATTCTGAAAAGCCACTGTGAACTTTAAAAATCCCGATTTTTACATCAGGCTTTAAGCCTGATTTGATGAAATATTATGATTTCAAAGACATTATAGGGTGCAAACACATTTTAGAGTACTCAGAAGGCCCTTACGCTTTGTATACTCTTTTATCATCTAAAAAAATACTGTTTTTTTAATGAGGCTTTAACCATACTGCATAGATGTCAACTGCCAAATCACCATGAAAAGATTACTTTCTTTTAGCAAATTTTGAAATAGCGTTTCTCCAAAGAAACACAAAATCCTAAACAATACTTCAGTTGGCTTTATTTGGATCTTCTCTAATCCAATCCTACACCAATATGAGCCACAAAATTATAAGATATTTTCTGTATGCTTGTGAGCTTTACAATGTGACAAAATATTAACTAACAAGTTATATAGTGCAATGAAACTCCATTGCATAGCAAAATATGACATATTCAAGTGTACCTATGCCCTATTAAATGGCTATTTCAACCTATAAAATCTAGAAATTCATCATCTTTCATTTTTTTAGTCAAAACCTGTTACTCGTTGACATGGCACGTGCCTTGTCTAGCTGGAAAGAGATTAAGAAGAGTGGTTAATGGTTACCAAAGAGAAA